CATACGGCGGTTTCACCTACTCTGGTCCTGGACCAGGCTTGGGTTGTGGCAGCCACCAGCATGGACCTCAGGAACTGAATCACGCCGGCTAAAATGCCCAGCATATCTGAAGGGTATGCGGTCAGAGGGATTTTGGAATATCGACTGAGGCCTGACTTCTTCTGAATATGGGGCAGAGGTCTTCTTCTGAACAACTAAACAAGCCCTATACATATGCAAAAAGATTCAGCAGGAAGAGGAGCACAAAATAAAAAATCGGAGGAGGACCAGTCTCCCCACAAACTCCCTTTTCCAACAGAACACTGGTTTGCGGCCGAAACGTTCAAAACAATGACCCACCGATGTCAGATTGCAGATACACCTCAAAGAAGGAGCCAGACAGTTGGAGATGGAAAAGGGGTATCATAACCCAGTAGCATGCCCGCTGATTTTCAGTCTAAAAAAATGTCCACGAAACCCCATCCCCTGGTCAAGGTGCAAACGGGAAACACACCATACAGGAAGCACCTAGCATTTCCCCTAAACTGCGAAAACAAAGGATATCATTCCATCCAGGTAAAGTTCCCAGCCACTCATATCACAGAATGGGAAGGTTCATGACCTGAGAATGCGGTTATATCTGTTACAATCTTTTCTCCATTTCTGTGAGAGATCCATTTGACCTTTTTTTTTCACCTTTTAAATTTGCAAAAACGGCAGAAAGAAGGTTTGCCAAGACACGGTTTTGGGGGCCTCCAAATAACATTTTAAGAAAATGCTGGAGAATAAAACCAAAGGGAATTTGGGCTGGTCAATTCAAAGTTCCGCCCAGTCATGCTTCCATTTTTTGATCTCGTAAAACGAGACTTTTACATGGAATAGGCGAAAAGAAGGTAAAATTCAAGATCGCAAAATAAACAAAAGACGGAAAACAGCAGGTGACAAGGTTGGCGCCTGATATTTGCTGGTAGCAGATTCTGCAAAAAATAAAAGAAAAAAATGTCGGAAAAAATCTCATAGTGGTTACAGATCATTAAAAAGGATTATTCGGAGATAGAGGCTCGCCTTCAGGTTAAAGGTACAGATTCAGCAAGTGCTGTCTCTCGTAACCCAGCAGAAAAGGTATTCAAAAAAATCAGACATCATGGAACAGACAAATACATATACAACATTCGGTTTAACCTGGAGAAATTAAATGAAAGATGAGAAGGAAAACAAGGTTCACTCTTAAAAAAAAACAACAACGCAAAAAATTAAAAATTCTGCACACAAAAAAGTTGGCATGAAATATGAAAATTAGACAAGTTGTACGTTCTGCTCAAAAGTTGCCCCGAGTCAACCAAAAGCCAAAATTTGCTCTCCTGAATTTCAGCAAATCGTCATGGACATCTTCCATGTTTAAACCATCTTACAATAAAAAAATCTATACCACGAAAAGAAAAGCCTCAAGGACATATTTCAAACCTTCGCCCTAGAACTCAGCAAAACAATAAATTTAAAACACAAAAACGAAAATAAATGGTCAATCGCTGTCAAAACGAAAAATCTAAATAAAAGAAAATCATTGAAAAACATTATACAAAGAAAATATCCCTAAAACTTTGTTTTAAAATCACCCAACACTCTAGCCACAATCACAAAACAAAAATCGTGCCCGGCGGAACGCTTGAGAACGAATCAACTGAAAAACAAATAAACAAAAGAAAATAAAAGGACCGATTAGGATCAATATAAATACAAATTGGATACTTTATTCAGTTCCCTAGAACAAACCATGGCAAACAGTCGAAAAAATAACATTTTCAAAATTGTCCAGACTACTTCCACAAAAATAATACACGGAAAACTTAAAAGATATTTAAAAGGGCAAAAAAATAAAGCAAATTGTAACTTAATAGAAAACTAAAATCATGCTAGTATTTATATAGTAAGGGAAGAAATTAGAAACTGGACTATCGTAATGAAAAATAAACAGATAAATATAAAACTTTAGCGACAGTTAAGCAAAAACAAAAAAGAAAATTGATACCTCGTATAAAAAAGGTAATTTAAAATTAAAAAGAAATTTCCAAAAGAAAAGGGGAGAAAATAATAAAATAGGCGAAAAAGACAAAATAAACAGACAAAAAACAGCAAAGAGAAAAAAAAAAAAAAAAAAAAAAAAACACAAGGGGACAGTAAGTAAAAAATGAAAAACAATAAACAGAAAAATACACAAAACTTAAATGAAATGAGAAGGAAACAGTCCTAAAAAACAACAAAAAAAGAAAAACACAAAACGAAAGACAAGTTTAAACCGTACAATAAAAATAGACGAAAAACAAAAGCACAAGGTTCGCCTAGATGCGAAACAATAAATCAAAAAACTTTAACAAAGAAAATATAAACAACGAAAATACACAGAGCTAATCAAAAACAAAATGGCTGACTCTGAGAACGAAAACGGAAAAACAAATAAACAAAAGAAAATAAAAAGGACAGATTAGACAATATAAATACAAAATTAGAACAAATATGAAAAAAAGTTTTAAAATAAAATAATACACGGAAAACTTAAAAGATATTTAAAGGAAATAAACAAATAAAGAAATAACTGTAAGGAACCACCAAAATAAAAAAGAAAAAAGTATTAAAAAAAAGAATTTAAAAAGAAAAATAAATAAAAAAGAAAATGCAAATAAAAAGCAAAAATAAAACAAAAAATGTTAAAAATTGGGAAAAAAAATGAAAAAAGAAAAAATCAAAAACTTCAAATCAGTCCTAAAAAACGAAAGAAAGACGGTAAATAATAAATCAAAAACTTAACAAAAATGTAACTCAAAGAAAAACTGTGGAATCAGAAAAATGTCTGGCGACAACCACCAGTCAGAAAGAGGTCTGAAGAAATGAAAAAGAGAACGAAGCAAGAAATCGCCCAGTAGTTATAGTGTAGGGAGAACGTGCCCTAATAAACAATTAGGAAATTAAGGAGGAGTTAACTCCGACAATATACCCCACCTCAGATTGAAAGTTGCAAGAACGAAAACTATTAATATGTAAAAAGTTATAAACTGAATAAAGAAATTGCCCAAAATGGTTGATGCATGTTGAAGGTGAAGACGTGATTTCTGAAATGTTATCAGATGAAGAAGTCGTGAAAGTATTATCATTGCATTGTATTGCATTGTCAGCGTGCTGAAAATATATTCGGAGTGAATGCATAGCACAGTCTGAATGAATATGTGTCGACGAAGTGTACACGTGTCTTCAGGGTGAATTGCTGTTAGCCGACGATGTTGTATTTAAATACCTGCTTTATTCCAATGCTCCGCGTAAATTCAGTAAGTCGAGATGCGTATTCGAGTAGTGTACTGTAGAATGCATGCGGATTTACGTTGGAGTGAGAGTGTCGTGGCGAAGTTGAAAAATTTGCGTATTAGTGATCACTTGGAAACCCCACAGCCTCAATAAGGACTATACATCCTTCGCCTAGCTTGTGACTCGAGGTGTTTCGGCCACGATTCGGTAAAATGAAACTGGTTGTTTCGCCAGAATGCGTCCGCTGTGTAGGAATCTATCGAGCATGCTTTCTTTCACTTTACACTTGTGTAAGCTTGACGATGGCTGCATGTTTCGTGGATACTTCTGTCTTACAAGCCAGTTCTGTTTGTAGCAATGTGTGTCCATTGCTTGAGATAAAGAAACACTGTGTTTCCGTGATTATTAGATGTTATATGCAAACAGTGATACGGACGATGTGAATGAAGGAAATTAACGGAGATTTGTCTCTTTCTCCAGACCATATGATTGCATAAGTTATGTATCAGTTTAGGATTAAGATCAAGAGTAGAGTGAAAGAGGTCGTCTTTCTCGAATTTGAGTGGAAGGTGGATGAATGCAACACGATTGCATTTAACTTGGAATGGCATTTGGAAGTCTGTGGTTCGGGATTTTGCACAAGTGTGAAAGACTTGTCTATCCAAGTTAAGTTTCAGATAGGTTTGTTCTTTTGTTAAGATTAGTTTAACTAGAAAATGTAAGCTCATTGGTCTTTTTTCCCTATATTTCCGTTTTACACTTTTCTCCCTGTTCCAACAATCTGGAAATGTTTCCCTTCATTTTTATGGATGTGAAGGAAAAGAGTAATAGTTAGCGACTCCAAATGAGAAATCCGCGAAACTTTCGCACAAGTATTCTTAGAAAATATATGAATTAAACTTTTCTCCTCCCTCCTCCCCAGCTACGGGTTAAGTAACAGGGCAGACTAGAACTGGATTCTCTAGTTGTGGTTAGCAACCAGTCTAGGAGAAAAGCAACTCTGAATTCAGAACTGTATGCAGCCCTGACAAAATACATACTAGCCCTGGAAAGGATTAAGGAATTCGCAATGATTCTATGATCCTCGACCGTAGTCGATGATGCTTATTTTACCGTTTTTGTTTTGTTTTGTTAATATCCCTACGATATAATATCACATACGCATTTTTGTAAATATCATTACGTAGCGTCTCTACATCATCCGGGGATTTTTTTAAAAAATGTAAATTGTGAATCATTTGCTTCATTCCCCTCCCACTCTTCCTTTCTATCAAGAAATTATAGGTAGATTATTGAACCGTTTTTTCTAAAAAGCATCTAATGCAATGGTTAGCAAGTTCGTTTCGGAGACCAATTTGCAACTGTTCTGAATTCGAGCATTACATTCTATCTCACTACCTAGGAATCGAAATTTGAAAAGAAGTGACGGATGCAGTGTCCTATCCAAATGGAATTTTCTTAAGAGGAAATTATTCCCACTTGGTGAATTACAAAATAAGTATTTTTCAAAATTGTTTTTATTATTAATTTCCGTTTCTACTGTTTAACTAACCTCTTATAAGATAAAATATTTTTCACATAACTTCCTGGGCTCATGAATTTTAATCTATCCTTATTTTATATCTCCTGTTCTTATATAAAATCTTTAATATCTGTTGATTACAAATTGCCATGCGACTAATTAATTTCCTTTATTTTCATCCTCCTAATTTGCTATCTTCTTGATGCCTTTTCTCTCTCTCTCTCTCTCTCTCTCTCTCTCTCTCTCTCTCGTGATGTCTATCTTTAGTCTCTACTTACAAACACACCTAATACAAAATTTTAAACAAATTGCTAAAATCACCAAATTAAAATCTCAAACATTACAATGAAAGTTAATTTTGTAAAAGTTTCTGTTGAGATTTATTTCTGACCACAATATACTGGGCATATTTTTCTTAAATTACGACACCAAACGATTCATTTATCCACCTTTAAGCTAGGCGAAGAGGTGATTAAATATTTTCTGCCTAACCAAAAAGTTTTTTTTAAGAATCGTTATTTGATCATATGGTCAGCTTTGGGAAGTGGGTCAGATTGAGCATTTTTAATACCTCATCATAGTTGTCATTGTGAAAGTTTATAATGCAGTGTCTAGCGATGCATCCTGTTCTACAGGATGCACTCTGAATTTAGTATGAAAATATGTTGGAAAAAGAAGTTTGGCAATAAATTCAAGAACGCGATGAGAACCGTACTTCACCCTGTAGGACGCAGGTTGTTTTTTGTTCGTTATTGTGTGTGTGTTTAAGATTTTAAGACAGTGTTTCTTAATTACGTTTATTACTTTATGCAACAAAATTGGATAATTGTTGAGCCTATAAGTCTTAGGTATAGATCTTTGATGACACCAAGTGAGGATCAAATTCATTAGCAATAGTCTGCTAATCAAAGTTGTTTTAATCACAACTCAACTACATACTCCATTATTTAAGTTTGATAGTCTAGCAGAAACTAATGCAACATTAAGCAGAGACGAATGACTTAATGAATTCCAAATAAGTTCGATTCACAAATAACGTGTACTCATCCAGACCAAAATAGATTTTTTTAAATTAAACCTAAAAGAAAACTCAATTGACTAGACTAACTGTTGAGTGTTTTATGTACTCTTCTGTTTCATTGTGAATCATAAATTATCAAATGGTAATGACAGCGGATATTAAAAGCGTGTGTAGGATTGTGAATGAATGTAAAACTGAACTGTTATCAAGTGATCCCCTCCCATCAACATTTTACTGTAACTTGTTTTAAAAACAAGTAAGATGAAGAAAATGGAAAGGAATCAGAAGAATCATACTGGATTCTTATGAAGTAGGCATATTGTCATTTTTTCAAGGCAAAGGACGTAGGAAGTTGAATAGTAATTTGTGTGCGTGTGTGTTTTTCTCCTATTCATTCTTTGCTGAAATAACAATCTTAAAAGAATAATCGTTATCTTTTATTGTTCACAATTTGTAATAATAAGCTTCATGTCGTCTCCTTATAGCAAGAAAGTATATTACTTTTAGAAAGTTTCACTGATTCATCTACTACCCGTCGTTTCATCAGTTATGTCCTTTCCAATTAATCATTAAACAAATAATAATTACCGAATTCAAATTGCATATTTGCTATGTGTAGTTAGTAATTTGAATAGTTAATGACTTTCTTTCATTCGAAATAAACGTTTCAAAAGTTACGAACACAACATGGATATTGGTTGTACGTATTGCAAAACAATAGTTAGATTAGAAAGCAAGTGTCTTAGATCATTAACTGTTACTGTTAGTTAGCAAGTACAGTTCTAACTGAGTGCCTCATAATTGTGAGGCTGGGTACAAGTTTAGCTTAGTCCACTTAAAATCACAATCAGGCTCTCCCTAATAATCGTTATCGACATTTTTGTAGTGAATGAACTCATTAAACCAGCTGAAATAAAAAAAAAATAATATTAATTTTTTTTATTACCCCTGCCCTACGATGCTTACCGTAAAGCAATAAGGTTGTCTTGCAAACAAGTGATTTCTCTTCCGACTAAGTGCCACATGCTTTTCTCCGTATTGCTAGCTACTCTAGCGACAGAATTATTGCTCAGTGAAAAACTTTTTACTACACTAACAACACTATCAGAAAAAAAAGAATATTCGGAAACCTATTTTGTGACCTAATGACGTCACGTGAAAAAAAGAGAGGAGTGTATCTGTGTCGTTACTCTTTATATAAACAGCAAAATCAGTAGTGGCCATTGGAGTATTTTGAATTTCATGTTGTGCTGATAGCAACACTTTACTCAATTGTCATAACGACGAGTTGTACTAAAAAATTTTATCGCCTTTCTTGGTAAGTTTTTTTTTTTTTTTCATTGAAATTATTTTGCTGCAATTATTTCTTAGGTTTTCAATTTTCAAAGGCCTCCTGACATGCATGGTTTATTAATAATTGTATTTGTTTATTCATGTGTACGCTCGAGCAGAAATGCGAAAGTTAAAACTCTGTCTATCGTATCTAGCAAAATGACATATACGGACTTTTTTGTATAATCAATTAGTTCTTTAAATCAATTAACTTCTTTCCTTTTAGGTACGTGTAACACAGCTTATTGGATTTTGTTTTTATATCACAGTACTCATAAAGTGACCTAGCTGAGTGTTTTTAACGCTATAGACCACGCGTCCGTAAAAAAAAAAAAAAGTCTAAGAATATAAATTCTGTATTATCTCTAAAAACCTTTGAAACCATACTTATCGAAACCTACAAACAAACGAAGTATGTTTAAAACCTTTTTATTCGTTTTCTTAACTGCCACGCTAGTAAAGTTTAACTTGTCGCAGTTAAAATATCACGTTATGTTCACTTGAAACTCCCCCCCCCCCCGACCTATTTGAACCATAATCAGGACAGCAGATCTTTCAGTGACTTCATAGCATACTTGTACTTCGTTAAATTTAAACTCCACAATATTGAACTTGTTAACTTATTATATCTGATCTAGATCTATGAATGATTCTCGGCGTTAACTTATGACTGGTATAAAATAACTTTAAAAAATGTACCTACCTATAAATGACGCTCTTAATCTCACGGTTTCTGCCTTTTTTCTATAAGAAAATCATTACAAAATCTTAAACTCTTCCAGATTTTTTATTTTACATTAATTATATTACCAGAAAAGATCGCTTAAGTTTGTCTAAAATGCTGCTTACATGATCTTCAAAAACATTTTTTTTAATTAGGCGTCACCAAAATGCATGCAGTCTTTCATTTTCCCAAATGAAAGCCCAATTTTTTTTTCTCGATATCAACCTTGAACGTTGTCCCGAAACTTTACAAAAATTCAATAAGCCTCGACTATTATTGTGGAGAGTTAGTTGGTGCTAACAAAACATTTTCGTTTCTGATTTCAGTTGACAGAAATCTACACTACGGTGAACAGGTTTTGAAAACTTTACTTATTTTTCAATGCAATTTTTTATTCTTCTGGTTGCTGATGATTTTGTTTTTAATATAAACGTCTTTGAATAATAGAAAAATGCCAAATTTGATACTATTTTCGCATAAGAATTTTTTCACAACTGTTAGCTTATTTTTAGTGTCGAAATACAAAAAAAAAGGAAATAAATCTGAATTACCTCCAAACAAGTTTTCTTTGTAGAAAAAGAGTAACATATCAATTTTTAATCTTCTATCTGAATCTATTTTCTAGTTTATCCATAAGAATGTTTGGGTTTTTGTCTTTTTTGTTTGTTTGTTTGGAGGGGGAGTACTGTTTTGTTTGTCCTAACACTAACAGGAAATCGGCCTAATGAGCCATATAACAAGATTTATCACCTGCATTCTGAATCTGAATAGAGCGCACAACAGAATTAAACCAGTAATAGGATAACATTGCGGGTTCATTAAAGACACTGGAACAATGAATACGATATTTATGCTCAGAATGATATCAGAAAGAGCAATGCAAAAAAAGGATGTATTGTATACCTGTCTTATAAACTGTGCAAAAGCGTTTAACAAAGTACACTACAAAGAACTGCTAGATAACATGACATTTGGGAAGGATATTAGAGAGTAATCCAGAACGAACCTATACTGGCAGCAAATCGCCTGCATACCGATAGAAAATGGATTTAATAAATATACAAAAATGGTGTACAAGACAAGATTGTATTCTCGCTGGACTTTCAACTTAAACAGTGAGGTAATTCTGAGAGAATTAGAAGTCCTCCCATGATACATTATTGGCGGCCACAATCTTAACATATGCAGATGACAGTGTTGATAGCAGGGAAGTAGCGAAGGAAAGCGAAAAGGATTAGATCTCAATTGCAAGAATGCAGGGTTGTTTAGAATAGGAACAACTCAACGGGCAAATCACAAATTGGAGATAATGAAATAAAACCAGTACAACAATTTAAGTTTCTCGAAGATGCTTTAACAGACGATGGAAAATGCGACACTAGTAAAATCCGAAGACTCCTTAGCATAGCGAATTAAAGGTGCCTACCAAATGCTAAGCAAAGTAATAACAGAAAAATTTCATTAAAAATAAAGATTACTGAAGTACATGTAAATATCAGTCCTCCTATATGGTAGTTAATGCTGGAAAAATTTCATTACAGAAGAGACTTGTAACAAATGTTTCTACAGAAGGACGCTGAGAATACGATGGCCAAACACGTGAGCAATGACGAAGTTTTAGAGAAAATGAGGACAAAAATATATGTAAATATCAGAAAGGTAGTTGAACTTTCTGGGGCACATACTGAGGAAAGAGACCTTGGAAATTTGATGTTCCTAGGACAAGGATGAAGGCAAGAGGAACAAAGAAAAAAGCAACGCATAACCTCCCGAGTGAGCTTCAGTAAATGTGGGGAACAGGATTTATAACAAAACTTAGGAGTTACAAAGGACAGGAAATTGTGGAGTCATAATCGACAACGTCCTGAAGGAACGCAGAACAGCATGCAGTATAAAAAATATTCATTCTACTAAATTTCAAGAAAGCATATATAATTAAAAATAATAAACTATTAGTTATATAAGGTGTGTTTTTTTTTTGTTTTTTTTTTTTTTGTTTTTTTTTTAATGAACTTAAATACCAATTTCTTAATTTTTGCATTGCTAGTGTTCTGTATTTCTTGAATTTTTTTTTTTTTTTTCTTTTTTTTCCGCACACTCATTCACTGGATAGCAATAGAAAATTAGTCGTTGATCTATGACCTTGATGACAGGCTACCGTGCGCAAATAAACGTTATTTTCATTGTTTTAAATAAAAAGTACTGTAACCTGTGTCAACAACCTTTTGATTGTTGACAAACTCTCACCTTTTTACGCTTACGATGCTTTATGGAAAGAAATTAAAATAAGAGGAGTGAGATTAAATTTCATAAAAAGGTATCTATTTAATTTAATTTATATGAATTTTTATCAGAAGTGTACATAAAATACTATAATTTTCTGTACATTTATTACATTTTATTTTACTGTTATTTGTGTTTCCATTCATTTTATTAATTTTGTTTGATATTTCATTTATGGAAAAATGTCATAACTCAGATTAATATAAAAATAGTATCATAAGATGATACTGATACTCGTAGGTACCCTTCTCAGTTGAAATTGAAAAATCAAATTGACTTCTCCACACGTGTTTCACATAAGTAAAGGCCTTAACAGCGGAGAACAATGCTTAACTCAAATAACACAACTTGATTGTATTCTGGTTGGTCTTCCGTACTTTATAATTACAGCCCAATTATAAACACAAAATTACATTTCTTAATTACTTCGGGTCTTCTGATTAGTCAAAACGATACAATTTACAACACGCTAAAAAAAGATCTAAGGACATTTACGAAACTGAATGCAGCTTTTAACTAATTTTGTATTTTAACAACTTAAATGTAAAAAATCTATTAAAGGAAATAACAAATTGTATTAAAAATTCATTTTTCATAAAAAAATTTTTTGCTTTCCTCAAAGCCATTCACTAAACTGAATGCAACTGAATTTCTAGAGTTTTCATAAAATTAGTTAGGGGGGGGGGGTAATAAATATGGAAAAATATTTTTTCCATGACTTTAAAAAAAGAAAACTTATTATAATTTCCATTTGTGAAGTTTCTGAAAGTTTCATTAACATCCAACAATTATTTTTATTTTTTGCCAGATTTTCCAAATTAATGTGTCATACAAAAAAAAGACTTGCTGAAAATGTATTATTTTACTAGTTTTCATGGAGGTACCTAATTTAAATCCTCCCAAGGATTTCTGCTTTTGGCTAACAAATTTTAAGGGGATAAAATGCAATTTCTCTTAATTTCCTAAAATTGTCTGTGGAAAATTAAATTATTCTAGAAATTAATTTCTGAAATTTATTTGAATAAGATTAGTCCTGAAAGTTGCATTAGAATACAAAAATTTTTTCCCCTTATGCAAAAAAAAGACTTCAGCATTTCCTATCTTAATCATTATAATCATTAATTAATCTTTGCTCTTCTCGCTGACACAAACATCTTTAATTAAAGATTTGACCTTTCCACTTAACTGTTTGATAATTTTTTTTTTTTTTTTTTTTTCGTGATGGTACCTAACTTCAATATAACCAGTATTTCCAAAGAATCTAGCTCAGAAAATACTTTCCAAAAAGATTTACTATCACTAAATAGATGACACAAGACAATGAGTCTTTTAATTATAAATTTACTAGTTATAAAATTCTATTTGGTTTCTTAGATCATTTATAGAGAACTAATTTTTTATATTTTTATTTATTTATTTATCCATATTATTTTGCATCTTGTCAATCTCCAAACCAATCCTAAATAGTCAACCCTTAAATTTACTGTTATTTTAGCATGCAACTAATGAATCTTGGCCATCTACTTAATTACACACACTGGTGATGGTGGTTGCTTTGATATGCAACATTGCAAGGTTATTGCTATAATTAAGGATGGCTGAATTAGATGTTCTAAGAAATTCTTTCAGGAAAGCAAATGTTTTTGCTCCTCATTTCCATAATGAACTCTTGCACAGTGAACACCTAGTTTATTACAGAGAAGAAATGCTTGCTTTGTTTTAATGTAGGTTAATTTTCCCTTCAATGAAAGTAATTATCTCCTTAGAGTGGTACATGAAATAAACCGCAATGCTTTTTAAGTCTTTTTTTTTTTTTTTTTTTTTTTTTTTTTTTTATTCTAACAATCAAATTGACTAGTGTTAAATGCTTTAATATCACTTTGATCAAATAATCTAGACATTGCTGATTAAAGTCTCATTTGTGTTACAGATTTTTATAAAAGTTCAAGATGACTGAAGACAACAAAATGGCTACTAATGAAATGGATAGCAAATTTCTAAAGCACTTGACAAGCCTTCCAGTTGTGGACAATACATGGGCTCAGTTATCTGCCTACTATAACATGGCTAAGGACTATAATGCAGTATTGAGATTTGCATTGACCACAGCTGAAAGTGGAGCTATGAAAATGCTTAACACTGCCCAACCTGTTCTTAACAAGTACCAGCCTCAAAGTAAGTAATCGGCAACATTACCAAGTTTTGGTAACAATATCAATTAAATGTCAACACTGAAATGAAATTTTATCCTGTAACATAAAAAATGGAATTTAAAATGTCTGCATTATTAATTTAATTCCTCGAAGATTAGTAAGCCGTATTCAGCAAATCTTGGATGTGCTTTGCTGAAAATTTTTTTACTTGTATGTCTGGTATTATTGTACTTAAAAAAAAAAATTTTACTTTTTGCCAAACTTCAAAAAGAAAATACAAATTATTTTCCTCTGCTCAAGACCTGTGCATTTGCGGTTATGAAAAATTGTTTTGGCAAACATGGACTTTCCATGCCCACAAAAAACTGTCATAAAGACAGTTTTTCCATGACACCACTTTTATTTTAACTATCTTTTCTTTTTGGCAATATTTTAAAAAGCAAAGCTTAGAATTGTAATATTAAGCACTTTATTAGATTACAAGAATTTTGTATTTAGAACATTCTAAAAATTAATACAATGCAATATTTATCATTTACTAATTTATAAAGAAATAAATATGAAAACTATTTTTTCACATAAATTTATAAACATTTATTAAAATATGTAAACCAGCTATAAGTAAATCCTTATTTACTATTTTATAAAGTTCAAATCCTTTGGCAATTACCTAATTTTTTGCCAACCATTTCAATAAACAATATAATAGTGTAAATAAACAATTTAATAAATAATAAATAAACAATCTAATAGTGTTGTCAATTCTCAAGAACAATGAAAATATATATAAATTCACTTTCATATTTTAAGTTTTATACACTTCTAATCATCGCTTTTAAAATGGCAAACACTGCCAAAGAGTGAAGGTAATTAAAATAAGTGTAATGGAGAAAAAAAATCATTTTTAACACTCCATTATTTCTTTAATTCTCTATATATTTGTGGCAACTTATTTTTCAGTAACAAAGGTTGATAACTTTGCTTGTGACCAGTTAACAAAGATTGAAGAGAAATATCCTGTAATTAAGAAAACTCCAAAAGAGGTCAGTCATTGCTCTTCTCTTGACCTTTTTTTCTCTCTAAAGGTAACAAAAATGTCTTATTCTTACTGACTTTACATCTAAACTAATTGTTTAATATATGTACCTGTCTTAGTACAGAAATTAGATGATTGTATTTTGCTTACTTAACTTTATTTTTAGATCGTCATAGAAGGCAAAGAGATGTGCAGTAATTTGGTTCAACCAGCAGTAGATAAGGTATGTAAACTAAAGTGTTCTAGCTCACTTTTTCTTCTTCACTTTTCTCTTGAAAAATAAGTGTAAAAAATCTGTCATACAAGTCTTTGCAGACAACCCTGAATTAATGATACACTTTTAAAGTCTTTATTTCATGGTCTCCCTATTCAATTCTGTTTTAAGTCTGCTTCTAATTTTATGCACAATTAAAACTTTATTACATATAAAGCTATAAAATACAAATCTCAGTCTGTTTCTACTTTCTAATCCATATTAGGTGAACTCTGTTAAGGAATTTAGCAGTTCAACTTTGAATTCAGTAAAACAACTGGCCTCACTAGAAAGCAGCAAAGAATTTAGTAAAATGCAAATACAGAAGGCCACGGAATTTACTCAGAGCCAATTAACATGGCTACTGCAAACTGATTATGGCCAGCAACTGTTGCATCAAGTGGAAAACTATCTGTCCATGTCAGAGGAGACACTAGATAAATATTTACCTCCAGTTCAAGATGAGGAAACAGAAGGTAAGCTCTTCAAAAATTTGACATTATTTTTCAGCAGATTATCTTGAATTTTATTTTTGTATTTTGCTAGTTATTAGATCTTTATCCATATATAGGTTAAGACTGTCAGCCATTATTTTGACTCACAGTATGAGTGAAGTATGATCCTTTGTATATTCTAGCAACGTACCAAAATAGTCCTCTTCTAGCAATTTGTATGTGCTATAAAACTATACCATGAGTATAATGAATGTCATATAGAATAATTTGTATAATGAATGCATTATAGAATCTTTGCAAGGAGAAAGTATGGCACAGGTTGGAAATCAATCAAAGAAGATTGCAAAACGTGTCTATGCTAAAGCCATTAAAGATTTGAGAACCCTTCATACAAATACCAAAGAAGCTGTGGAGAAACTTTTTGCTTCTGTTAATTTGGTAAGTTTTTGTTTTTATTTCTTTTCTCAAGACTTTACTGATTCAAAAATCAATCGGAATCTTACTTTTCATTTTCTGAGGAAAATATTGTTGCATGATGTATGGGTGGTAACTAAGAGCTGTGTATTGCACAGCATTGATGTCAATAGAAAAGTAGGGGAAAATGCATAGTAATTGGCTTGGAAAATAATTCCTGAGAACTACAGTCCCGAAATAAGTTTTGGTAATATAAAACCATGCTCCTGTCACCTAGAGCAGGCTTGCCAAACTGAGGGTTCCTTGGGGGCTATATGTTTGCATGTGTTATGAGGGCCAATGTCTGTGCAGTTCCAATATTGATCAGTTAGCCTTGTTCTCTGATCTTTTGATTTCATAAAGGAAAGTAACTGTTTCCACACACAACATTGCCATGATCTTTGTAGCAAACCTTTGAAGTTTTTAAAATTTTCAGAAAGATGTGAAAAGAACCCAGATATTCCTACTTCAAGATACTTTGGTCTGAGTGTAGAATTCAACTGAATTTCTAATAGTTTCATCTGTAGGCTTTCTTCTGTCTTGGCAACATCAAAGATGAATGGTACTGAGAATAATGCAAACTGATGTTCAAAAGATGAGAAATCACTAAATCTTCTGAAATTCCTTTGACAATTCCAGGTGACTGTCATACTTAAAAGAATGGTATACAGACCTCATCTACATTTTAAGATAGGTCCAAAATTTGCAAGTGAAAAAAAAAAAAATAAAAAAATCTACAGGAAAAACTCATCAGCAATATATTTCAAAATTTTCAGGCTTAGTGGAATGAGTCATATTAGTTCTCAAAGTGACCATTTGATGGCAGTGGCTGGCCTTTCAATTGTAAACAAAGATTGGTGTACAGTACATGTATGAAATCTTTGTTATTTTGATTTTATTATATATATATATATATATATATATATATATATATATATATATATATATATGCTTATAGTATTTACATTATGATCATAACTACTGGTAATTACTATAGTTTTATAACTCAAAAATAATCACTTCCCATCTATGAACAATTGGCTTTAATGGACCATCCATCCTCCCTATTAATCCGTTGATGAGGCTGTACAGTCTCGCTATTGGCAGCTCTTTGCACATAGGAAAATCAACTAAATTTTCAATTGACAGCTGTGACTTCCATAAGCTTAGTTTTGTAATGAAGCACTTGATGTCATCATACAACTGAGTGATAAGTTTTTTTACCTTGTACATTTAAATCAATATCAGTTAATTTTGATGGAATATCCACAGCAAAAGCTGGATATTGGTGTCAACTTTCATCTTTTTATTTAATCTGATTTGATCTTTCATATCCAAAAACAATTATTTCTTGTTTCAACAAATTGAATCTTTTCGGCACTTGTGACATAACCAGTGACCTTTTGGGTAGAATGGAACATCGGTGAACTGATCTTCCAACTGACAGTGGTTGAGAGCAACGTCTCTGATATAGTTCAGTCTTTGTGACCAAGCTGAACACCATGATCCAATTTTAAAATCTTTGAACACAAATTTTACTGATGAATAATACAGTGAAAATGTACAAATGATGAATCTGGATGTGAGTTTTCTTTGTAACTTGGCAGCAACACTTATGTTTGCCAACCATATTCACAGCATAAGTAGCCTTCAGTAGATAAGCATGCAAGTTTACTCAAATCAAAACTCTACTCGTGCAAATCCTGTTTAACTCTCTAAGATGTCTTGGCATGTTGTTCATGCATGGGGGCCAGTTCAATCAGTTCTTCATAAATATTAAATTCACTGTCACTGGCCCTGATGAAGATTGCAAATTATGCTATTCCAATGATGTCAACAATCAAATAGCTTCTTACTGAAAGTTAACCATTTTATAAATTGAAATAATGAAAGGGAATATGTAACTTTTACATTTCTTCTTTCAGATTGAAACAATGCAGAATAATTATGAATCCTCTAAACAAAAGATTCAAAATCTTCATGAAAAATTGTTATCAACATGGAGGGATGCCATCCCTGAAGAAGACTTGGCATGCAAACCTGAAGAGAAAACTGTAAGTCAATTAACATTTTTTGACTTGGATAAACCTATCTAATTAACCAATCAAAATAGCTCACTTTAAGATAGTCATAGAAAATGAGTGCTACAGTGGTCAAAATATTTAAAGGCCTATGTAAACCAAAAATGCTCTGTTTTACAAAGTAGTTTTGAAAGCCTGTCACTACTAATCCATATAATTGTTTTAGTCTGTATCTATTACATGTTTTAAGTGTTCTATATGTACATTTCTTAATGACATATTTCCCAACATTTCTCTTCTCTTAGGATAATCATTTAGCCATTTCCATGATACAAAAATTAACACATCAGGTGAAAGATACTATCAACAAGATCCATAAAACAATGCCTGAAACGCCAGCAGTTGTGAAACAGTTAGCTGAAGAATGTTATAACTACACAGAAAGTCTTTATAACTCTGTCAAACAGGTAATGTTTTGTCTGAAAAGCTTTGACTTTTGCATTTTTATTTTAATATCACTTAAGCTCTTATTTTGCATATTATATTATTAAAGTCTAATTCAACTGTCTTATTTTTCTTATTTCAAGTAATACAAGGTTACAAACTTATAAAAATGGAGATAAGTCAGATGGGTCATGTGACATCACTTCATACAGTGACAAGAATGGCCAGTCAATTTTAGTTTTACAGTAGTCAGATTGAGAAGTTGCTTTATCTTCCCAGGTCCCCATTTCCCATGGCCTGGACAGATGCTAAATCTGTCACCTCAGTAGCTTACAAGTCCATGGTGCTGTTTCCCTTGGGGGAATATCATTCTCAGATATAGAATGAAACTCTAGCTCACAGTCCTCAATTTGGGAAAACTCAAGATTTGCTTTATTTACATTATTCAGGCTATTGTCCTCATCTTTGTCACCATATTTATTACATTTTGGCTGTTGTATGCTCCAGCATTCTTCAGGTAGTTGGAATGTTGAACTGAACCCTTTATTTCGCTCACTGGGGTAGACTGTTCTAGTTCCACGTGCCATGTTTTAATGGATGTCAGTTATCTCCTGTTAATTTCCCTCTGAAAGTTCTCCACTGCCTTAACCAGGTATTGAACTCACTCTTTGGGTCCTGTCACTGGATCTAACCAATGCCTTTATCCACTGTGCCATGTGTCCTTGAGGATACATGGCACAGTGGAGAACTTTCAGGAGATAACTGATAACTGACATCCAATAAAACATGGAACTAGAACAGTCTACCCCAGTGAGTGAAATAAAGGGTTCAGTTTGACATTCCAAACACCTGAAGGCCAGAGCATACAATGGCCAAAACATTGTAATAAATATGACAAAGATTCAGTCACTAGTCCAAATAATGTACATAATACCTCATCTCAGAAATATAAACAGATACTCAAGATTTGCTGTTTCCCTGTTTGTGGAATGTCTTCGCCTAGGATATAGTAGATGAATCTGATCTGTTTGAATCTGGAGTGCTAAACATGGCTTCTCCAGACACAGGAGTATTTCTATATATATGTAAGACTATTCCTTTTTTGGTTTTTCCTCACACACTGCTTGCTGTGTAGATATGACATTGGGTGGATGAATTGAGTTAGTTTTGTATATTTCTTAGAAGTCTCTCTCTGAGAACAAAGCATGTTCGTTATTCCATTCTGTCCATGAATTACAGTGTTATTATATCATATATAATGGTGGAAACCTAAATGGAAGAATAAATCTTTCTTCCATAGCCCTCTCCAGTTCCATTAGTTTGGAATAAAGTAACTTTTTAAAATTAAACTGGCATGGACCAAGATTAGGACAAAAATAGATCAGGAGCCTCCTAATTGCTTTATTCAAATATATTCAACCAACATGGTCATAAATGCAGGTCTGAATAATGAAGCTGCTCATATTTTATGTAACTTTCATGTTTATTACTCCCCAAACTAGTATAAATTCTTTCATTTTCTTTTTATAGGCTGAAAGTTTCCAAGAAGTTTCAGCTTTACTGTATTCTAAGTCAGCAGAATCTGTACTTGGCCTTCAACAAGTTCTACAAACCCTAATTGAAACTCCATTTTCTTATGTGGTAAGTTTGTTTCTTTTTATTATAGTAATGATAAAATAAGATTTTTTTAATCTATCTAATGCTTCACTTTTTTTCTATTAAATCAGCAAGAATTACCAGTTACAGAAGAGTTAGAAATGGAATCAATGACCCTAAAGAAATCTGAAGATAGATTGCCTGAAGAAGGTGCCATGGAAGAAAAGGGTGCTAAAGAAGAAAATGGAAGCAAGGAAGAAAGTAGTCCTTCAATCAAGGATAAAGAATCTGTTCAAGCTGCTAGTAAATGATCATTGTATGTTCGTATTTTCCCAATTATAAGTTCTTCCTCCTCACCCCACCAAATTAAATATTCCTATGAATTACATTTTATTATTCATGAATAAAAATAATTCTTTATATTTGTATTTTTACTTGTTTATTTTACACCCAGTTAAAGATTGTATAATTCACATTAATACTAAAAAACAATTGTGTGGCTTGTAATGGCATTCAAGTTTTGTTTTTTTTGTTGTTTGTTTGTTTTTTTTTTTGTTTGTTTGTTTTGTTTTTTTTTTTTTCAGTACGAAGCTGAAGTGATAAATGGCTGCAAGGCATCATCTTTGGAAGTCGGAAGTATACAGGAATCTTCTTGCTGCAGTCCTTTTTCATTCTTCTGATAACATTGCTATTTCCTTTGCTGCTGGGAAATGTGACTGTGGTGCACACTTTTGAAATAGTTATGACCCCACTTTTGCATGTGTTAAGGAACCTGAATAGCAAATCACCCTCAAGGAACATTTAGCCAGTGTATAACACTCTTAGCCAACAGCTGCTACAAACAAATCAGTATTTTTGCCAGTGCCTCTCCATCAGTAGGCTTAGTGCACACTGTTATTTTACCAGATTTGAGATTCAATAGTATGCATGCAAGTGCCAGGTGTTCATGGATCACCCCCCCCCATCTTCCAGCCTAGGCCTACTTGTTTCCAACTGAACTCCCACTCTTTTATCAACCAATATTCCTTTCCTACCTGTCTAAACCAGTTTTCCCACTTGCTATGACTTCACCATGTTTGAATATAATTTGCCATGCAAAGTGTGTTGCTTTTTGTTTTTTTTTTTTTTTTTATATACTCAGTCACCACCTGTAGATGCCATACTTCTCTCCAGACATTCAAGCCCAATATATGGTTACTACCTTCCAGCCTGTTTGCCATTGATCACATGACACCATCCTTAATGCAAATATTGTCAATATATGCTGTTGCTGTCTTGATAGCATTACACCAATAATTAACTTTATTTCTGGTGCTGGATTTGATTCAAGACCTAGTCTTGCTAAAGTCTTTCTTACCATGGCACATCACTCTGGTATAGTCAGTGATTCATGGACACATACTAAGATAAACCAAGGATGTTGGATCCTTGGTGGTGCCAATGTTTCAGTATAACTAAGCTGTCTGTAATCCATACTGGATACACTTTGGGCTTATTCTTCTGTACTACAGACTTCAGCAGAATGAGGCCCAGTGGTGGCCAGTTCTTGTTTAGATTATGAACAGAACATGGATTCAAGCAGCCATGTTCAGATCTTCTAACTTAAGCAGACACAAGATGCTCTTAGATGAAATTTTGTAGTTCGAGAGATGCTTTACCCTCTGCCCTTAGAGTTTATAGTTGCTCCTTCCACAAACATGGCTCCTGTTTGTGCAATGTGGATATCACCTAGAGCATTGATTCCCAAGTAGGCTCATATCACTGACACTGCCTTCAGCTGAGTTTCTGATGCCTGTATAAATTTGGATAAAAATGAATCTATAACCTACAAGCATTTTCTTACTGTTTATCATATGTAGCAATACAATTCCTCACATCCTTAGAATAATAAATTCTTTTTCCTTTTAAGTCAATTACCAGAGTTAGGCATCTCATCTCCTAAATGATGATCAATTTAATGACTGGAGTTTTCAGGAACCTGACTACACCTTTGAATTGGCAATTTTGTTTATGATTTTAGATAATCATAAAAGTAGAGTCCTGAAAAACTGACCACCCAAAAGCTGAATAGGAGGTCTCCTTTACCAGAGCACAAATGGACAGATAGGGGTGGTGGGACCCCAGCCTGTATCTATATAATGACGGTGAGTCCTGAAGTAGGCAGTCAGCAAGGGAAGAAGGGACCAGCAGTGAGTGAGTCGGGCACAAAGTGCAAGGGTCCTTTCTCCACAGGTGGAAGATAGTAATATAGCAGTTCACTTTGACAAAGGCAAAGGAAGGCATTGCTGGTTAACTGAGAAATTGCATTTTTTTTTTTTTTTTTGCTATTTCCCAATTGTTGTCTTGAAAAGCATTGTTATTCTTTGTTGAATTTGATCACAGCCAATCAAACCTGTGTACATGATTAGTTTGGGTGCGTATGTACATACAGTGAACCTTGGATGTCATCACAGGTTGTACAGTGACAAGCGGAAGCAATTGTAACAAATTTTTTTTTGTCTTAGCCCATGACCAGCACAGCCTCATATTGAGTTTAAGTGCTAAGTACAATATCCTGTTAAAACAGAATTAAATGAGAGCTATATAGTGTTTACTATAAGATGTCAAAGAATGCATGCTATAGCCACATCATGCTGAAATATTGGTTTCTATGCAACTAAAATATAAAGGGTTACTTTTATAAAACAAATATCTTATCCACATCATTAAATTTCAAATTTTAAAGTGGCTAAGGGTAAAATTTTAACTGGCTTTATTTCCTACTAAAGAGCTGAGATCATAATTATTTCAAATTTAATATGGAATTTTGTCATAGATTATACAGACTGAGGATAGTAATGCTTTCTTTTAAATAACTCCCACGTCTGTCTTTTCTGAGGTGAAGAGATATATATATATATATATATATATATATATATATGTCTCTTAAGGTGTGCTATATCTATTATGGGATAAAGTGTTCAATATCAGAGATAGAGCGTACCCAGTTGGGTGACCACTTGGAAATATGTGCAGGTAAAGGATAATGATTCAGAGCAGAGATCATTATATTGACTTACACCCAAATATCCTTGTGGAAAATTATAATTAACCTCTTCTCCCCTCATTAAGGGTTAATTAGTAAGACTTGTATTCCTAAATCATTATTTTCGAAAGAAAATTGCAATCTACAAGTATTTTGTGACTTTAAATAACCTGCAGAAAATGAATCAATAATACACAAGCAACTAATGAATACAAATATTTCAAATAGATTTTAATATACATAAATCATTTACACAAGTTTTATGATATCAAGTAGTAGTGTCCAATTGGAGCAGTAAGTCCAGTGTGGCAGGATTTAGCCAAACAACAACATAATCACTATTGTAAATACATTAAGTCCAATCAGAGGAACTGAAAAGAGAGAATGAAAGAAATTAACTATGGCATAAATGCTTACAGACCCTTGATAGATAATTCAATTTTCTATAGGTTTAGATAAATATATACTAAAGTTTCTTTCCACACAAATTCTTTTTAATAAAGTAATTTTCAACCTCAACTATCTTTTTCTTTTCAAAACAATGCCCCACTCCCATGACTACAATGACAAAAATTGTCCAAACAGCATAAAATCAAAAAGTACTGTGTGTAAAGTGGGCCTGCCTTTTTGCTGAAGTAGTTTTGTTTCCTACTAGTGGTGGAGATCAGTATTAAATGACTGTTTAAAAAAAAAAAAAAAAAAAAAAAAAGCATGTGGACCCCATCAACTTGTAAAACTGAGTTGAGCTTTAATTTGATATTCACTAATTTTAACTGGTTCTTAAAGTATAATTTGTTAAGGAGTCAATCTAGAATTGTTATATTTTCAATCACATGTAAATATATTTTATTCATCTTAACCCAAATATTGAAAAGTGCCTGCCCTAATCAAGAAGACCCACTCTCTTATGTTTGGTCAGATTTTGGTATGTAGGTTGAGCCAAGAAATCACTCTTACATAAATTTATTGGAAAAATTTTAAGTAACAAATTTCATAGAATTCTAAATTCATTCACTTCAGCATCATGTAAGTGAGAAGGGCTTAGAAGCTGCACTAGTCCAATTAAGGTCAACCTCTAGCCTATACCAAGGGAGTATGAAACATGGTATGCACAGAAATTACTGGTAGTGGTCTACTCATGTGACCATTTTTACCAATATACATTTGGCCTTCACATTATTGTCCTGAGCAACAACAGACCTCTTGAAGCTATAAAAAAGGACTTTAAAAAGTGTCCAAAGCACCTGGAGAACATGTTGATGCACCTGCAGCGATACAATGTCACTGTGTTATATCATCCGGATAAAAGGATATATATTGCACAGACACTTTCAAAGGCCTACATCTATAGTATCAGCTGTGCAAAGGAGGAGGATGATATCCAGAGAGCAGAGTAAAATCCTGTTACAGAAAGGCAGCTATCCAAGCTAAGGATTGTAACCAGAGATGACCAATCCATGTAACAGTTGAAGCCGGTCATAAAAGATGGCCAGATGAAAAAAAATAAACATCAACCCAGAAGTGGGGCTGTATTTCAGTTTTTGGCATGAAGTGATTGGGCAGGATGGGCTGATATTTCAGAGTAGCTGCATGTTATTCCCCTTGATTCAACAGGCTGTTCTAAAGGAAAGACTGCATTCCTCCCATTTAGGAGTGGAAGGGTGCTGCTAAAGTCCATGTGAATATTTATATTAGCCAAACATGAACGGTGACATGAGAATACATCAAAAAATTCTCAACATGCCAGAAATATAAATTCTGTAGGACCTCTGATGGTTCATGAAATTCTGGAGAGACAAAAATGGGAGTGGAGCTGTTTCTGTTTGAGGGCAGAGACTATCTGAGCAATTTCTGAGAAAATGATCACTTTCACAGGACTGACACTAAGATGGTGATCACTGAATTGAAGCACCATTTTGTAAGATATGATATCCCAGACTAAGTTGTCATGGGTAATTCAATTTTAGAGTCAGGAGTTTGTTTTTGTGAGGAAGTGGGGTTTTACACACATGCCCATTAGTCCATACAACAGCAAAGCTAATGACAAAGTGGAATTAGCAGTAAAGATGGTGAAAAATCTTTCTTGGAAAGCCAAAGCCACTCAGGCTGACCCATATTTAGCAATATTGGATCACCAAAGCACACCCACAAAAGGTTTTTTTTATCACTGGTAAGGAGAATAAGAACTCTTCTATCAACCTCTAATGACCTGCTAAAACAGGAAATACCCAGAAATATAAAAAGACATTGATTTGTGAAGGTAGAAAACAAGAATTTCACTTCAAT